CCGGTAATTACCGGACTATGACCGGTAAAATATGCTGAAGACCGGCAAATCTAAATCTCTCCGGTCAGAATGTCCGGTCAAAATGATATCCCCTTAGCGCAATACCGCATCAGTTGCGCCACTTATGTGACAGACAAGAATAGTGTGTGACAGACAAAAGAGTATGTGACAGACAAGAATAGTCAATTATAATGTCTACACATAATGTGGAGAAAGAGATGTCCTGTATGGGTTGATTGCGCGTTGATCTGTTGGTAATGCCTCGGGGTTCCGGTGGGCATGTAAACAATGCATAATGCTGTGCTATACTTTGTGGCCTTACCCCGTTGCATAGCGACGCTTATTGTTTAGGTGTCTTTTAATAAGCAGGTAGTCATATCATTAGCTAGAACTAGCTAGATCTGATCGATATGGACATAAACGCGAGTAAAGTCTAATCTGAAGGGAGAGACCAGCTGCTGCTGACGAGTCGACACGCAGCTCTGCTTGCGGTGAGCGGAACAAAACACACACTTCAGGTTAGAATATCACACGTAGCTATTTTAATTACCTCTCAAACTACCTAAACTAGTTATAGATATGTTTAGTTTTACTGTCGGGTCACTCATTATTGGATCCGCGAGCTGCATGATACTGGCGTGTTGTCAGGAGAGGGGGGAGAGCGCTCCGTTTATTATTCCCGTGTTATTGTAAATTACTGTACACGTTTGAATAGTTAATTAATCTACTATAATTAGTTGGTTTAATATCGAATCATATCAATTTGTTTCAAAGCTCAATAAATAACATAGAAGACCTTTAACCGGCACTTTTCTAATTTTGTCCGGAAGATTTAAACTGTAACGGACATGTTGACCGGACAGGAGGGGGGAGGAGGAGGGTGGTGGGTTGAGAGGGGTGGGGGCTGAGAGGGGTGGGGGCGACAGGGCGGATGTGACACCTGTATGTGAGGGGGTGGGCTGAGAGGGGTGGGGGCTACAGGGAGGATGTGACACCTGTACGTCATAAGGATATAACGGACAGGTGCGATATCGCACCTGCATGTTATAACACCTCGAACAAAGGAGTCCATTAGCATATCAAAGGGGCTCATTCGCATAAGTAGGGGGCGGGACTTAGCAGGTGTGACCTGTCACTTTTTATGCATACTAATGAGACGAAAGGGGTATTTGTATAACTACTAGTTTAAAAGGGGAGTGATTAGTAAAATATCCTTAAAGAAAAAGTACATCTGTTTACAGTTCTGCTTCATATGGGTGTTGAGAGAGGTATCCATAGATCTCTTCATTTTGCTCTCAAAGTGCACCAGATTGATGCATTTAACTTCAATATTTAAGAAAAAATCTTCCCGGGGGAGCATCCCCCCGGACCCCCCTAGAGAAGGTGAGGTCCGCCCCCCACTCATAAAAAATACCACTTTACCCCTGCCTATATGCCGTGAGCTGATTATCGAGCCTTCATTGTAACAGTCGCGGGTGTATTGTGTGCGTGTGGGGAGTGTTGCAGTAAAAACACACTGTACTACACCACACACACACACCTACAGCTCCTAAAGCATAATCAGGCTACAGCCGTTGTGTATTTTATTTTGTGAAGCACTAAATGGTTTTAGAAAAATCTGGACTCTTAGTTTGTAGATATCTACTAAACTAAAGCAAATAAAGAGAGTAGGCCTGTTAGACTGAGTGATATATATTATACACACTGCTCTGCTTTCTGCACGGACCTCACAGCTGTTCTCACTGTAAACATTGCGTCTGATGAAAGCAGTTAATAAAATAATATCCAGTGGATGTATGCAGAGCTGTCATTGGCTGAGATCAGTCCGGCCGTGCGTCTCGACTCTTTGAAACATCTCTGTTCCCAGAAATGCATCCACGAAGGAGCCGTGGAGGACTGTGGAGGACCCATCAGTGTATCCTCGGTTATAGCTCCTCCAGAGAGGAGTCGAGGAGGGGGATTTGATGAAATGAGAACGGCCCATCATCTCTGAGGGTGGTGTCCTCCCAAACATCTTGTCCCCAAGAAGAAGACCAAGGCGCCCAGGGATGAGAGTCCAGCTTAAGATGTTCAGTCTCAAGAGTTTTAATAATATACATGTTTTGCTAATATTATAATAAAATGTTGTGTTTTTTAAACTGATGCTTGTCTTATTTGACACTTAAATAGCAGATAAGCACATTTGGTTGAATGCTAAGAGAAGTGCTCGATGTCTTTCTTCCTAGCTAAGGAAACTGCATGTGCTTTGTGGAATCCCAAGTTGCACTGATTATTTATAGGATAAACTCTGCCAACAGTAACCCTAGGACCCTACTGTAAATATGTGCAGGTTGTGATTTTTAGGATAAAGATGCAATTCTGTCTGCAGAAATATGTTGCTGTCCAACTAGCCACATGCTGTTGAGAAACAAGTGACATCGCTGCAGTTTACTATTAGGCACCGCTCATGGTTCACATTTCTGATCAGTAACAACTGAACAAAAGGTTGACCTGGCAGTTCAATTTGGATACATCTCAAAACTTAAGAGTTTCTCATGTGAAGTTATTGACTTCAGTCTTCAACGCATGCTATTCCAAAAGTATTCATTTCAACCTGACTTGTTTTGGCTGCTTTCTGTAATCAGACCTTAAACCTTACTTGGGAGGATTTTATACATTTTCTTTTTGTGGAATATGTGCAATAATATGATCAGGGCAATGATGCATTTCAGATAGCAAGTATAACAATACAAATTAAGCATCACTGTCATTAGTCTTTTTCTAAAAGTTTAAATTAAGTAAATGTAGCAATACTTACGTTTTTAAAATAAAATGACCACCTTAACAAGTAAAGGTCCTTCAGTATTAGTATTGAAATACAGGGCTAAAATAGCCCATTTAAGAATCCATGTTGGCCTACTAAATTAAAAACATATTTAATGATTTATTCATTTAAATGTATTTAAGGCTGCAATAAAAGTACTAACTGAAGCTGTCACATAAATATAAAGAAGTATAAGTGTAATGATGGAAAATACATAAATACTCAAGTAAAATAGAATTACTGCAAAGCTGTACCCAAGTACGTCAAATGTTTTCATTTACATTCCACAAACTGAATGTTTGACCTAAATATCGCTCCATATCTTTAAACAGTGGTCTTAAGTTAGTGGAAGAAGTGGAAGAAGTATAACTACAAGATCTGAGTACTTCTTCCACCTCTGCTGCATGTTAGCCTACTAAATTAAAACATAAAATGTTTTATGATTGATTGATTTATATGTTGTATTTATCCAAGTCTGCAATACAAGTAACTAGTAACTTAAGCTGTCATATAAATATAATGAAGTAGAAGTATAACGTTGGGAAATTTATAAACTCAAGTACAATTTCGCAGTAATTCTATTTTACTTGTTTTTGAGCTGTATTCTGTAACCTTAATATTCCTCCATAGTCCATACATTTTTAACAATTATAAATATATATATTTTTGTGCAACTGTCTGACTCCGTAACCCTGCGTCTGTTGAACGCACCCCTGCGGTTTACGACGTGCTGACGTCAGACGTGTGAACAACAAACAGTTGTTGGACTTCAACAAGCTAGCGAATCAGATTCTGTGCATGATGTGAAAGATTCAAATGTCTTTACATACTCCTATTTCGACACAAGAGGGCAGCATTGTTGTTTTTTTATGCAGATGTAACACAGACAACTCTCAGAGAAGATTTGTTGGGCTTGATGCACAATTATCCAGTTTTTAAATAAGGTTATTGCTGTTTTTACAGCTGGTACTGGTAGTCTACATCCAGGGTGAGATACTGATTTGAGTCTACAGAGAGTGCATTAACCAGCCTTTACATACATAGGGTTAGTTTAGTTTAATGTTCAAACTATTCTTTATATAAAATAGTTTAAGTAGCTATATTTTATTTCTCTGTCTCTGAGCTGTAGTGGATTTGAAATAAATTCACTCTGAAGATGAGCTGGAGATGCATGAAGTGACTGCTGTATGGGAGCTAATGTGGGCCTCATATAGTCATACAAGAACCTCCCTCGTATGAAACAGCGTACAGAGTGCTGAGCTGTGACCTGACCTGAGATTCTGATACGCACCACCGGCACAAACGTACAGAAACTACATGAGCCCCAGTCAGAGGGGAAGTGAAACTCCAATGTTCCCCTTTCCTAATCCAGATGTTCAATTATATACATAGTCACTAAGAAAAAAATTGCTTAAATTAATTTATGAGGCAAAATACCTCAAATCTAGTGAGTGGCCCAGCCCTTTGTATGTTTTTCTCTATGTTCAAGGTTCAAGGTCAAGGTTCAAGGTTTTTATTTTGTCATACGAACATAGCTACAGTGTAGTTATGACGATGAAAATCTTAGGTCACAGGCTTCAGTCTGAAGTAAAGCGTCTTGCTGCAGCTGCAGAGGTGAAGAGACTGAGAGGAGGGAAACTGGTCCAGTGAACACAAGAGTCATCAAGCAGAACCACCATGAATCCAAATAAAGCTGACACTCTTCAGTTCTTGATGACTAAACTGAAGGTTATATTATTGTTCGGCATTGATATCAAAATACATTTAAACGTATCTCTACTAAAACCTGCATAACATACAGTAATCTCTGACACAGACCACTGCACGCTGAGTAGAGAGGAACTTCACCAAACACTAACTATTCACACTAATATGTTGAATTAAACAATGCTTGGAAATAAAGGACTCTACTCTTAGCCTGCAGAAAAATCTATGCCTGATATTATATTTGAGCCATCCTCTCAGCCTCACTAAAAATTAAGTTCACATTAGCATCAAATACGTAATCACAATAAAACTGTTTCATATAATTGTCTTCACTACCAAGTCACTTTCATTGACAATGTTATAGATAAGAAACTTAAATAATGTTCTAAACTAATCCAAAGATTTATATTGTTCTGCAGATAGAAGTGCAGTATGTTATAAAACCTTTTAATGTCTTACTACTTTAAATAAAACACCAAACACTTCATCATGTTATTTATCAGAGAAAGCTTTATTAGGAACATCCTGAATCATCAACATGACAGTTACTAAGCACACTCTCATCTCTGCTGAGCTTCACACATCACTCTCTGACTTGTTGCTGTCCAACACTTTACAGCAGTGTTGTTCTCGGCCACACAAAGCTTCACTTTCCTCTACAAACATTAAAACTCCTGATGATCAGAGCAGCATGTGTTCTCCTGGGCTCCAGCGGCCCCTCTAGCCCTCACACCGGCTCCTGCGGAGGGACTGGGTCTGGCCGTGGCCATGATGGAGGACCCTGCAGGAGTACAGCTCTCCTGACATCCAGCGCTCCTGGCTCAGGCTCAGGCTGCTGCTGCTGCTGTAGCGTCCGCTCTTCTCCTCCTCCGAGCTGCTCAGGACCCCCTCTGTCACCTCTGTGCCGTCCACCTCCCAGCTCACCACGGCTCCCTGAGGAGAGTAGCCGGTCAGCAGGCAGGCCAGTGTGAGCGAGCCCCCAGAGAGCTGCTCAGAGGAGTAGGGGGCCAGCAGAGAGACGGAGGGCCTGAGCATGGCGCCCGCTGCAGGGGAGAGAGACACAAGGAGCAGATTCACTTCCACTGAGGGACAGACGCTGTGAGACAGAGTCCATACAGGACACATTCAAACATTCAAAGGCTTTATTGTCATATGCACAGTAGCTGCAGTGAATCAGAACCAGAGTCAGAATACCTTCAGTGGTCCCACAGAGGGGACATTCACGCTGTTACAGCAGAAAAGAGCCAAAGACAGCTTCATGTTACGTAGAAGCATGCATACACAAGTATTCAAGTTAAACAAATATTTCATAAAAAAGTTACACAATTTACAAAATACACATCCTGTAACAGTTCTGAGGATTCAGCAGCCAGGTGTATAATGCACAGTTATTAACGGCATATATATATATATACATATTGCACATATTGCACATATTGCACATATTGCACATATTGCACATAGGCTATGTAGATAAGGCAATGAAAAGCCCAAGGCTCCTCCAACAATGCAACATACAAAGATGTAGGACATAAAACAATAAAACATAATTCTGGCATTTAAAATAATGAATGTTCTTCTTTGGCACTCATCAAAACTCCTTAAGAGTCACATGAAAGTATGCAACGTAATGAAGGTGTTAATGTAATGATCATTATATGAAAAGCTTTATCTCTGCTTTACAATGTTTCAGAATGAATAACTAATCTCTGCAATAATTGACTGTTAAGAAAAACAAAATGTAACATCTCATACAGTTGAAGACTTTGTCATCTGTTTGTTTCACTTCCTTTGAACTCTTTGAAACTAACGGACTGTGAACGCACCCTGCAGCGACTCTGAATGTACACAAATACACTTTCATTTCTTTTAACGGATCCTCAGCAGATTTGATAAGAAACACTTGTTAAATGTTCAAATATATTACAATTTGAAAGTAAATCACACTTAGATGTGATGACATCTGTTCTTTGGTCAATTGTGAGCTAAAAATGTGTTTATATCTTATTAAAAAAGAAAAGTAAAACGTACATATAATTCACCGTAACATCTTCTTCAATATTTAAATAAAACTAACCTCGCTTAATGTTTTTCAATTCTTCAGCCAAGCTTTATAGATGTAAAAAAACATCAACAAAATGTATAATATCCCAAATAATGTCTTGATTTATCATATTCTGATGCAAAAGTAAATGTAATGTTTTGTGTTAGAAAATACAAATCTCTGGTACTTACAGTCAACGATGAGTTTGGTTCCTCCACCAAAAGTGTACCACAGTGATACAAACTCATTAAGTGGCCGTACAAAAACCTCCTGCACTGTCAACAAGCATGTATCACTGAGAAAGCTCCCTGATCTCACTGATAACAGAGACAAATATACAGTTTTTAAATTAACAAAGCTTTTCTAAAGATATGGATTACATCTCTGGAAGAATAAATATGATTTATGTCATCTTTCACCACTTTTCTACACCTGGCAGAGAAACCATTACAGTCTTCTACACAACTAACTTTGTCAGTTTTATATTAGTTTCTACACGGTTAAATGAACATGAGGCTTTTAAATAATAGTTATTAACAAATGTATTTGAAACAGAACTGAAACATGTTATTTATCTACAGTGAATCTCTGTATGTATGTTAATGTCAGACAAACAGACATATCATACCAACCACAGTGGACACAAACTCAAATCCTCATCTCCACTCCTGATATAAATATGTTCTTCCATTCAGATGATAGACGGTGTAAATCCAGACAGCTTTCCTCCTGGTTTCGTGTCCCACGTTGCCTTCAGTGTGCTGAGAGCAGAGACATCATTTCCATAGAGAGGAGGCTTTGCATGGTCAGCTGATCCTCCAGTGAGAAGGTTTATAGTCCTGTGAGTTCAACACTGCAGGACTCACATCTGTCAGTCAGCAGAAAGCACCATGACTCTCATCACCATCCTCATCTGGACGCTGGCCTGCTGCTGTTTCACAGGTTCATTCACTCAGCAACATTTCAAACATCATGTGCTGCCTTTCCTCTCCTTTCTTTCTGCTGAGAAATCAATGATCTGTTTTTGTGTGCAGGATGCAGCGGTCAGGTGACTGTGACTCAGCCTGCAGTCCAGACGTCTGCTCCAGGATCCACCGTCACTCTCACCTGTAAAACAAGCACAGATGTTTTCACATGGAGTGATGGCAATCAGGGTATGTCCTGGTATCAACAGAAATCTGGACAGCCTCCAAAGCTCCTGATAAAACGTGTGAGCACACTTGAATCAGGAACAGAACCTCGGTTTAGTGGCAGTGGAAGCGGCTCTGACTTCTATATGACCATCACTGGACTGAAGGCTGAAGATGCAGCAGTTTATTACTGTCAGAGTGCCCACCTCATAAACAGTGCTTGGGTGTTCACACAGTGATTTGTAGTGGAACAAAAACCTCCCTCAGTCAGACTGCAGAGACTCTGAGCTGTTACAGCAGGAACCACCTGCAGCTGCTGAAGAGGAAGAGACTGACACAGCCCACTGAACTCAGAGCTGACAGGAACCCACCCAGCACTATTCACTTCTTATTCTTAAATATACATATGTTAATGGATTAATGAGATTAAACCCAGTCCAAAACACATTATATGTAAAAGCAGCATTATACACAAACCTTATTGTGATCTCTGCTTCCCCGAATTAAAACAACAAACGCTCTTTATCTTTTCCCCACATGTCTCCACTCGGTGTGCTTCACAGCAGGAGCATCTCTGGCCTCTCTGGAGTTATTATTTCATCATTATTATAAAGATCCTGGTTCAAAATGACAAAGATCAATCTAATGAAGTCTTTAAAATGTTAAACGGTGGCTGATTAAAACCCTCTTATTCACATCAATCAATGAACTTATCCATCAGTTAACCTCAAATTCACATCTTAGTTAAAAGCTTCAGGTTTTCTAACAACCAGTTTCATTGAAGTTTCCTGAAATGTTTTTTTGTTCCATTATTGAAACCCAAGACAGCAGGAACATCCAAGAGACGTTTAGTTTGAACATGATTTGACCCCTGACCCCCCCTGAGACCACCAGTGCAAAGCAGAGGCTTTAGGAATAGCAGACGTACATCACAATCAGAATCAAGTTTATTACCAGATACTTTGACACATACAAGGAATTAGCTTTGGTGTCTGGTGGTACGAACACAAACAATCTAAGAAAATAAGTTGCCATAGTAGGTACAAAATATAAAGATAATTAAAAGAAGTATTTACACCAAATATACATTTAAAAGACCTTAAAAGCTAATACACTAAAACACTTAGGACAATTAATATGTGACAATATATGGCAAACTACAGTGAATTGTATTTAAAGTGGAGGGCTGTGCAGACATGTGAGCAAACATGTGTGTAAAAGGCAGTCAGAGTTGAGCATGAACATGGCTCACAGAATTAAGAAAGGAAAAAGAACAAGGTGTTGTTCACATGATGTGCAATAATGTAACTCTGTGTGACTGGCGAAGCCACACACAGTCTACTATTCGACATACTTATTAGTGCGAATGCTGTTCAACTATTGTTCTTCAAATCTTTATTCTTCCACATCTTATTATTGTGCTTTCTTCCTGTAGTTCCTGCCTGTGTACATGACACAAGCTGCTCACAACCAATTGCCCCTTGGGGGATCAATACAGTTGTTGATTGATTGATTATTTCAACCAGATTTCACCGTCTAACTACTTCAGCATACTTTCAGCTACAGAGACCATTCACATATTAAAATGTCCAGCTCCTTCAGGACATGTGTGCTATGACTTTTCTTGTTTTCGACATTTATACTTTTAAAAATATATCGCTTTTAAACTTTTATTTTTACAATGTAACCCAATGGGAGTATCCTTCAAATCCTCTTTTACCTACACCGTGTTTAAAATGCTGCTCCTTCAGAATACTTTCAGCTACAGACTTCATTCCAACTTTGAAACGGTCACAAAACATTCAGCTATTACATTTGTATTCAGCTTTTTGATATCTTTTAGAGTTTCTCACTCATCAACGTTTAAGTGTTGGTAAATGTTCAGGCCGTTGTAGATGATATAATGGTTGTCTATGGGATGGACTCTTCAGGGCTAGAGAGTGTGACATCATCATTTAGAGTGTAGAGGGTGTGCAGCTGCCTGGTTTGGCACCCCCACTATAACTTTGTCAAGGGTGGTCGTACTCCCACCAAAATCACACTGGTGTTTGCTGACCCCCTCTAGTTTGTGCACACAAAAGCATTTTACTCTGGGCTCAGCATGTGAGAAACTAAAGAGGGGCTTCCACATGTGGCAGACCAGGTGTTGGTGCTGCCGGAGTTGGCGACCCCCACTATAACTTTGTCCTAGATAGTTGTACTGTCACCAAAATCACACCGGTGTTGGTTCTTTCCATCTTATCTGAGAAGGTTTTCCATCTTCTGTCTAATGTTATGTTGGTGTCTCGTTTCGGTCATAACGCCATTTGCTGGTTTCAGAGTTATCTAACCGACCGTACTCAATGCGTCAGGTTGGGTAGTACTGTCTCTGACCCTGTCACCTTGGAGAAGGGAGTTCCACAGGGCTCTATTTTGGGGCCCTTGCTATTTTTATTATATGTAAACAATATTTGTAATCAGATGCAATTTTCTACCTATCATATGTGTGCTGATGACACTATTTTATATTCATGTGCTCCTTCTCTGGATATGGCCGTTTCCAATTTAAAATCTGATTTTATAACGCTGCAGCATGCGCTTCTTGATTCTAAACTGCTATTGAACGGTAAGAAAATCAAAGCAATGCTTTTTGCTCCCAAGTCAGCGTCCTCTTGCCTCTCCATTGACACCCTTGCTGGCGTCTCTGTTGAGTTTGTCGATACATACAAATATCTGGGCTTTTGGTTGGACAGAAATCTAAACTTTAAACACCATATTGAAGTTTTAACTAAGAAATTGAAATTCACTCTTGGCTTCCTTTACAGACTTAAACGTTGTTTTTCAACTTCTTCCCGTAAAAGGTTGGACTCTGGCTTATTCCTGTCCCAGCTTGACTACGGTGATACAATCTATAGATTTGCCTGTCACACTGTTTTGGCCAAACTTGACCCACTCTACCATGCTGCACTGCGATACATATCAAATGCACTCTATAGGACTCATCATTGCAAACTGTATAGCCTAACTGGATGGTCCTCACTTAGTATGCGTAGGATGCAGCAATGTTTTTTATTATTGTATAAAGCCATTTTAGGTAAGCTTCCACTGTATATATGTGCCAGATTTGCTCCAGTTTGTGACTCTTATAACCTCAGATCCAGTGCCTGGATGCGGCAGGTTCCTGCCGTACGGACTGAGGCTGGAAAAAGGAGTCTTTTTTATTATGGTCCTTGGTCTTGGAATGACCTTCAATCAAGCCTCAAACTGATGGCACTTGTCCCTATAGCCTGTTTTAAATTGAAGTTGTCTGAGGTCCTTACCACCAGCTGCTCTTGCAGTAATAAGTAGTGTACCTTTCTTACTGTCCCAAATGTGCACAATGTAGTGACTGCTTCTTGTCTTTTGTTTACTTAGTTGTGTTCTCTGTATTTTATATGTCTGTGTTATGTGTAAGAACGTGTAACATTGCTGCCTTCTTGGTCAGGTCAGCATTGTAAATTAGATTCTGTCTCAATGTTTTCATCTGGTTGAATACAAATATGTTTTTTGCAAAACCATGGAAAGAGATGCACAATGCTACTTAGAGACACAATTACCAGAGAGAAAGGAGAAAATAGACGCAACAAGTCAAATCAAATCAAATCAAATCAAATCAAATCAAGTTTTATTTATAAAGCACATTTAAAGCGATTTTTGGTCGAGCCAAAGTGCTGTACATGTAATAAAAACACATTACTACAATCACAATAAAAGACAATAAATTACAACAGACATATAAAAAACACAGGGAAAAGTCATGAGTCGTGCTCCGCTCTGACTAGAAGGCCAGGGAGAAGAAGTGTGTCTTAAGAGTAGATTTAAAAACCCCTAGGGTCTGGGCCGACCTCACATGGAGGGGCAGAGTGTTCCAGAGCCTAGGGCCAGCTGCTGCGAAGGCTCGGTGCCCTCGGGTTTTGAGCCTGGTCTTGGGCACTATCAGCAGCAGCTGGTCAGCAGACCTTAAAGCTCTGGCTGGGGTGTAGCGCTGGAGGAGTTCAGCTATATAGGCCGGAGCCAGCCCATTTAGTGCTTTAAAAACAAATAAAAGGATTTAAAAATCAATTCGGAACCGAATTGGAAG